ATCCAAGGCATCACCAAGCCAGCCATCCGTTGTCTTACTCGCCGAGGTGGTGGGAAGCTGAGGTCTGATCTACGAGGAAACTTCTGGAGTTCTGAACGTACCCCTTGAGAACGCGATCCGTGATGCCGCCGCATACTGTGAGAGTGTTAACAATTTTGCCAATGTTAACAAACATAATGCCAGTGTTGGCAATACATCGCCAACTTCGCTTGAAAGGAGGTAAGTCAACTGGCAATATGTTGCCAACACTGGCAATATGTTGTTAACACTGGCAATATATCGCCAACTTTGCTTGAAAGGAGGTAAGTCAACTGGCAATATGTTGCCAACACTGGCAGTATGTTGTTAACACTCTCACAGTATGAGACGGCATCACGGATCGCGTTCTCAAGGGATACGTTCAGAACTCCACAAGTTTCCTCGTAGATCAGACCTGAGCTTCACACCACCTCGGCGAGTAAGACAACGGATGGCTGGCTTGGTGATGCCTTGGATATTGTCGCGAAGAACTTTGCGATGGCGCCTGGCACCTCCTTTGCCGAGTCCCTTGCCTCCTTTTCCACGTCCGGACATTGTTGCTTTGACAGCGGTTGCACTGCCCCCTCAAAAAAAAACTGTCACCTCATTTACACAGCCCCACCAACCATTCTGCAGTATTTTTCATGAAATACACACATACAACAGTTTATAGCACACATTTATTCAACACAATATTTCTCGTATTCGTTTTTCGACATTTGTGGCCCTAAAGAGGGCCGTAGGGTTAGATTGAGATCCAACTCGCGAAGCGCTCGAACTTAAGCACGTTCACCGCGGATACGGCGAGCCAGCTGGATGTCCTTGGGCATGATGGTGACACGCTTGGCGTGGATAGCGCACAAGTTGGTGTCTTCGAAGAGACCGACGAGGTATGCCTCAGAGGCCTCTTGGAGAGCCATCACAGCCGACGATTGGAAACGCAGATCGGTCTTGAAATCCTGAGCGATTTCACAGACCAGGCGCTGCCTTGGCAGGGCACAGCATTTGATGGGGATTTTGGTGAAGCCCGTACGACCCCCCTATACCTAAACTTATGAAGTTTCTTCCCCCCCCCCCCCCCCCGAGGAGGAAGAAACTTCATAAGTTTATGTATAAGTAAGCGCGAAAAATGGAAAAAGTAACAATCCTGAATG